GCGCGCCGCGCGGGGCGACCGCCCCGGGCAGCGTCGGCCGTGGGGCCAGCCTCGCCAAGCGGGAGGTGAAGAAGGTCAGTCAGGCAGGCTCAGCACCGGGTTCTGGTTGCCACGGGGCTTGTAGGGCACCCCTTTGGGCTTCCTCGGCAGCGGGTGGGTCACTCCGCTCCATCTGCAGCCCGAAGAGGGGCCCCGTCAGCACGGGGCCGCCTGGGCTCCTTCCTCTGCGGGCTGCGGTCTCCTTCACCGCTTGGGGAAGGTGTAGGGCTGGGGTGAGGGGGCAGGGAGCCGTGGCTGCCGCTGGAAAGCTCGCACGGCTGCTGCCGGCGAGCTCACGCGGGGCTTGACCTGCAGGAGGTGAACGAAGGCGTGCAGGCTCTCTCCAACAGCGAGGAGGAGAAGAAAGGGGTGGCTGCGGCCCTCCTGGCACCACTCCTGCCCGACGTGGTGAAGGAGGAAGAGGAGCGCTGGAGGAGAAAGGTGATCTGCAAAGAGGAGGTCGAGCCGCCCCCAGAAGAGGAGGCGAAAGCGGAAGAGGCGGCGGCTGCCCCCGAAGAGCCGGAGCCCGGCCGGGATCCCCTGGAAGACACGCTGCAGGAGGATCTGTGCAGCGTGGTGCAGTCAGGGGAGAGCGCTGAGGAAGAGGAGGAGCAAGACACCCTCGAGCTGGAGATGGTGCTGGAGAGAAAGAAGGTAAGGGGGAAATTTTTGTCACCAAAATGGGACCACGGGTGCAGCCAAGGAATAGTTGAGAATAAACCGGGAGCAGCAGACATTTTCATCTCTGTCCTGCGTCCTTTGGGAGAGTGACCCTGCGTTTCCCGTGCTGCTCCTGTACGGGCTTGGGCTCCTTGTAGATCTGGGCGCTGGACAGCCGCAGCTTCACGCGGACGCTGTGCTGGCGAGCCAGCAGCCGTTGGCAAGCTCTTGCTCCGTCTTTGCTGCCGTTAACGCGGTGCCCTGACTAGAGCAGCCGTTTGCTCTTCTTTCACGGCTGACTCGTAGCCGCCGCTGCTCCTCGGGGGAGGCTCGGGTCCCTGAAGTGCCGCTCGCTCTCGTGTCTCTTGGCAGGCGGAGCTGCGTGCCTTGGAGGAAGGCGATGGCAGCGTTTCGGGCTCCAGCCCGCTCTCTGATGGGAGCCAGCCGGCCTCGCAGGATGCAACCCGCAGGCTGGCCTCCAAGCGGGGGAAATGGAAACTGTTTGTCGGAGCCGCCAGCCCCGAATCCGCGAGTCGAGGCTCCAGCAAAACGGGCCGAGAGAGCCCGGAAGCGGGAGAAGCAGGTAATTGGAAAGGCTCCCTTCGGAGGGAGGAGCGGGTGTTTGGAAAGGCCGCAGCCCTCTCCCGCCGGGGTCTCCTTTCCCCGAAGACGCGCGGGGCGCCTGGAGCCCGCAGAGCCCCACGTGGCACGTAGAGAAGCCGGGACAGGCGGTGAGGTACGTGTGCCGGGCAGGGGACAGGCCCAGAGGGGTGGCTGTCACGTAGCTGAGCTCACAGGCCGGCAGCGCGAGTCTCACGGGCTCAGGGCAGCGTGGGAGTAAGCTGATGCTCTGCCAGATTCTCCTCTTTATCCTAATTAAAGAGCATAAACGGGAGAATGCCCGTATTCAACGCTTTTGTCAGGAAAATGAATAGGAGAGTGCCCGTATTTGACGCTTTATCAGGAGAAGGAACGCAGAAGTGTGATAACGGCTGCTTCGCGTCCCACTGCCTTCCGCTTTCCTCCCGACGTTATAAATCCTAACGGTGGTACACGGGGAACTGTTACCTTCCTCTTTTAAAGTTCTGTTTCTAAGCTGCCTGGTAACAGTCGCCAGATTTCAGACAGGCGCGAGGTGTGTTCCCCGAGAGCCGCTCCGGCTCCGCACTTGGCTGGTGCGTAGGAAACGTAAGGCGGGACCTCGCTGCGAGGAAGATCTGGTTCACGTCGGGGTTGTTTGATACCAGGTGTGCGTTGGGTGTATCGCTCGGGCAACAACAACCCCCCGGCAGAGCTCGTGTTCCTGTTAGCGCTCTGCTTCCCCGTGGCACAGCCGCCGTCTTTCAGAGACTGTTGTCAAATACGTATTGAGAGCGGTTCAGCGGATGTTGCGGAGCATCGTGTAAATTTATTGCCTTGGGGAAATCATGCGATTGCGGCTGTCAGCGCTCCGCTAACAGCCCGTGCCTCGCTGCCTGTACCGACCCTCCTGCCCTCCCCAGCCCCTCCAGAGCTGCACTCCCCGAAACGCGCTGGCCGCAGCGTTTTGAGAGAACAGCCCGTGCCTGGCAGCCCCGACTCCCCGCGCCCCCGTCAACCGGCCCGGGCCTCGCTGCCTGTACCGACCCTCCTGCCCTCCCCAGCCCCTCCAGAGCTGCGCTGCCTGTACCGACCCTCCTCCCCAGCCC